AGAAGAAAAATTTTAATGCTTTTATAAGCAAGTTGTTGATAATCCATCAATCATTCAAGTTAGCAATCAGTATAATACCTTGTGTAAATTGACATGTAGTTTTTATAAAAATAATTCAATGTCTTTTTAGCGTGATTAAGCCAAAGTACGATTAATATCTAAATATCAAGTAGCTTTCCTTCATGATTTAGAAAACGTTAAAAGGCGCATACAATAAAGTAAGCTTATTTCAAAGCTACATTAAAAAATTCTTTAATTTTATCTGGAATTTTGAACAAAAATATCTGGAAAATTCGGGAAATTCTCAGGCAGTTTTTTTTTAACATTTGAACAACATTTGAATAGACACTCTGTAACTATGCTTTTCGCATTATTACAGAACAATGAGCCGACAATCCAACGTGCAGTATGACCGTACTATAATTCGGGTTCCTCATCTTCCATTCGGCACTCGAGAATATCCTCCTTCGTTGATAAATATGACGCTCAATTAAAATACATCAGAAACACTGTACGAGATGCGAAGTCCGCGACGAGCGGGATGAAAGTTTGTCACAATTCTCGCGTAACGGATTCCTCCTGCCCCCGCATTACCTGGCCTGCGTGGGTCGTACAGACTTTCATTATCGATCTTACACAATGCAATAAATAAAGTGGGTTGTAGACAATAATACGAGAAGAGAGAACAGTCGACAAAGAACAACAATAATGGCAGTGAATAATCCCGAAACGAAATGTCAAGTATGAATTCCCTCCGCTACGTAATTCGTAAGGAAGAACCGGAGGTGTATCACGTACGATGTATTCCCGAAGAAAATGGAGTCATGCGTGAAGCAAAACTGAAATATCATCGATTTCGACCAGCAACTTGGCACACGTACTGTGATAATAATGACAATAATTCATAATTATTGATGATAAATTCCATCTGTCGTTTTAGCACGTATTAAAATACTTCAGTAATTACGATATTAGAATAGCTACCGCAGATTCGCTCTCGCATTCGTTCGAGAGATTTGCTCATGCATTTGTGAGAGATGAACGTGCGAGCGCACGAGAAGAGTCGCATCGCACTCATATACGGACATTTGCCCTTTCATTCGTACACAATTGCGCACACATGCACATATACGCTTATGAAAAAGTATATATATGTACACACATTCATGTATATATGTAACCATTATATATATATATATATATATATATGTATTTATCTATCTTGCATTTCAGCAAGCAGCAACAGGTTTAGTTTAAAGAACTCATACTAAAATACTTGTGTTTACTAAAATTGTCAGTCGGC